TCCAGACTCAGATATGCTGGAAACAAATAATCTTCATAGATGGAGAGGTCTTCAGATGTTTTATCTAAATAATGAATTCCATGACCCCCAGGCTCCACTTTTGTCCCTTTGCAGGGGGTTAAGTGTACAGTTTGTATAAGAAATTGATACTTTCGGGTATATTTTGTTCATTTTCAATTGGAAATATAAACTTGAAATTATAACCATGAAATGACAGTTTGATACTTTGAAGATTTTGACCCTGGCCTACCCCCAGGGGCTGAGGGGCAGGGCCCAAAGGAATCGAATTGTCTTAAATTTCAACAATCTTCTTTTCCAAACCAAGATATATGATGGAAACAAACACTGTTCATAAATGGAAGGGTCTTAAGTTGCTTTTTTAAACTTTGAATTACATAAGCTCCATGCTCCAGGTTTGTCCTTGGGGAGGGGGTGAATCGTACTAAAGTTTATATAGGAAAATGATACTTTTAGTTTTGGTTGTAGTTTTCATTTTCAAATAGAAATAATTCAAACTTGATTGGAATTTAACCATGAGTTGATACTATAACTCAGGTGGCCGTTAAGGCCTCTTGTTTTTCATGGTTACTTGATTTTTGTTTGCTTCTCCTCATTGTCATATGAAATGTAATTCTCAATCCGATTTGGTTTTTTTTGTTGTCGCTACGGTACATATTAGGCTCCCCAAACGAAGTGTGGACTTACTGATTTTGCTGCGTTCTTATTATTGTTCTTATTGTTATAAGTTTTCTTCCAAAAATTTGTTTCCGATGGGGTTTTTTATCGTCAGAAACTGCTGATGGATAATTATGAAAATTCGCATAAGCAATTATGGATATTTGTAACGCATTTCGTTTTCGGATTGGTCATCAAACATAGCCGCCGTAGCCTGTTATTGATTTACACATGTATAGGTGTTTTCCAAGGGGATGGCAACTGTCCCAGACTATTTTCGATCTTTGCTCTAAGTTAGTACTTTTAAAAGTATATCCTGGCATTGTGATATTTTTCCAATACTTTATTTGCAACTACAGGGGCATTTTAGAGCACTCTTGTTACGATCTCCGTTGCAATTAATTAATAACTTGTTATAATTAACCTACCTTCACATATCAATTTGACAGGTATGGGTAGATGGGGGAACTCAGATCTTCTTCTCTCTTGCTGTTGCATTCGGAGGATTGATGACACTCGGAAGCTATAAAAAGTTCAACGACAACTTTTACAGGTACAGATTTTCAGTTTAATGCACGTGGTGTCGATGTATATTTGAATTTCATCCTTATTGTAAACGTCGGTCCACTTCGCTTCAAACGGTCGATCCAAATTCATATTATTATGAATTATGACATTATATCATCATACTTCTGGAAATCCATAAAGATCATCTGGTGAACGTAAGTATTTTCCTGTCCATTACTTGAAAGTAGGATAACGCAATCTAATAAGGAGTGTTTTATTGTAAATGGTTTGTCTTTGCGTTTTAAACTATTTGAAAACTGTTGGTTTTCAAGTACAAAGGAAGCATCTACTACCTCTGGCCACTTTTACTTTTAAAGTTTAACTTTTTCGTAGGACATTGTTGTATCGACCTTTCATTGGTCATGATGACCTCCTCTATGTTGATGGGTCGTTAAATATGTAAAGATAGTAATGTTTGTACTTTAAAGAAAGTATTAAATTGATTCCCTTTCAGGATATGTAATTGTTGGCTGGTCCGGTTTTTATTTTAGAGACAGTATCGTCATCATGTGTATCAACAGTGGCACAAGTATTCTAGGAGGATTTGCTGTGTTCTCCGTTCTCGGGTTTATGGCACGTAACCAAGGAGTTGACATTTCAGATATATCTAACTCAGGTACAGGACGCACCGGTATCCCTCTTTTTGTTTAATACAGCTCGACGGGAATACATGCCGTGTTTGACAATGTCGTTAATGACAGCGATACTAGTGTACTTACAAGTTAGAAAGACCAGGAGATAGCAGCATTTAGACCAACAGCTCCATAGAATTACCATTAATGAAATGTTTGTTTACAGTTCCCATTTTTTCCCATGCGCGCTATGTCAACCAGTGAAGCTGAAGTGAGGATGTTTTTATTTAGGTTGACTGTAGGTTCGGAAGAAAGTCCCTGGGGATGTTACTTTTAGAGCATTTCATTTCTGCTAGCTAAGGATGCTGCTTTTTGTTCAAATTGCTGGTTTTCTTTTTCATGGCCATCAACCTCTTTTCAGACGGGTCACCCCCTACAACTTGCTACCACAACAACGTGGTTGAAACCTGTCCAATGATTTGGACGTAGATGTAAATAACTATATCCCCCCCTCCTTTTTTTGAGATCAAATTTTAACCCCATGGAAGGACACCCCTTATATTTGTATAACTTTAATATAACCCATTGAGCTAGGAATGCTCTTACAATAGAGATGTTGCAAAACATATCTCTCAAGTTTACCTTTTAGACCTTCTACCCACAGAAAGGGTCGTCTCTTTTATTTGTATACCGTTTTGTTCCCATTGGCTAAGGCTACTATCGCGAAAAAATGGTTTTAATCTGCTCAGTAGTTTGAGAGAAGATGCCATTAAATATTAATGATGATTGAAACAGATGACGACGTATGACGGACAAAGTACCACGACGTTAGCTCGCCATGGTACGTACATTGTACCAGGTGAGCTATGTAATTGAGATAGATTTTGTTTTAAAATAAAATGTTTACATTGTTTTCCTACAACGCACTATATCACAGTTTGTATAATTTTACCGGAGTAGTGATATCACAGTGTTACTGGTAATATCAATGTTTTATCTATTGGTTTCAACTTAAATAACAGATAACGTGTCCCCCTATATACTTACTATTTTAACGGGCAAGTCCGTTAGAAAGATTGTCTGATTTTCAGTTGTGAGTGTATGTTAGCCTTCAAGTTCAAAACAAATGTGAACAGTGTCAACTTACATGCAATATGGCTCTCCATGATCACAACTAGTGTCTTTGGATTTACAATAACGTTTGTTCTGATAGAATCGTTTTTTTCTGATACAGGTTGTTGTTTCCCAGATGCTGACTTGCATAAATTTGCGTCTACTTTTTATAGAATTAGATCTTGTTTCCGTTACAAGCTGTTTTCCTTAATTGATGATTTGCACATTCATCTGTTTTAATAGAATCGGACTATTATTCTGCTACATGCACAAGCTTTTTCTTCTTTCCAAATGCTGACTTTACCAGTTATTCCAGTCTGTTATGGTAGAATCGGTCATTTTGTTATTCAGGTTGTTATTTCCAAAATGCTTACCTTTGGCATCAAGTCGCATATGATTTGATAGAATCGGGCTTCTTTCTAATACAGGCTGCTTTCTGATTACGCAGGACTTATTTGTCGAATAAAAAGCAATGCTGATGTAATCATATTAAATGATAATCTAACAATTTAACAGGTACTGCACTTGCATTCCTCACCTACCCGAAAGCCGTTTCCTTGATGCCAGGAGCCAGCTTTTGGGCAGTACTGTTCTTCTTCATGTTGTTCCTGGTTGGAATGGATAGCTTGGTAAGTAAAGAGATCAAGAGTGTAATTTATTAAATAAACATTTTTCTTTTATTTCTATCATTTCTCAAATGACTATGACATGCTATTGTTTGAAATCATATATTTGTTAGATGTTTCAATTGAGAGAAAAAAAGTAAATAATTTTGATAGGGAAGCATTATTAAACATATAACCCTTTCGACGTAGCAAGTACAATAACAATCCAAATTGACCGGAAAAAATACACTGAAGCCAAGTTTGTTTCGTATAAGTTTTGCATGCGCGTTAAAAAATGATTACTTAATATTTTAGATCATTGCCGTTCCTTTTCAGTTCGTTTGAATAACATTGTCGGTTTTCTTAAAAACTCATTGTAAGACTTCCGTACATATTTTAGTTCCTCGGAGTCGAAGTAGCCGTGACCATGATGGTTGACGCCCTCCCAGAGAGGTACCAGAAGAAATGGAGTCGGATGGTATTGACTGCCGTATACAGTTTTGCTCTTTTCCTAGTTGGGTTGTCTATGACGACACGGGTAAGTATTGTTAGAAGGGAAAATGTCCTATCTTCCTTTTTGATATTTTTTTTTGATAGTCAGCTGTTTAATGTACATCGTTTATTTTCGGTGTATAAATAAATGTCATGAAAATAATTTCAGCTAATAAACAGGCAATCTTTGTTCATGTCAATTCAGGTTAAATATTGTTAGATCAATTTGAACTGAAAAGTGCAAAAAAAGTCAATTTTAGGTAAAAAGGTCTGAATTTAACTTGAAAAAAATCAGCATGACAAATTCGCGTCTATTTCAGGTGAGGATTTGTTTTCATATCATATTCACCTTAGACAGTTTGCATTTCGAAATAAATAACTTCAGAAAAATAAGACCATAAATAAGACCATAATTTCCAAAACTGTTTTCATGCTTCAGTCATTACATTTTAGAATATATAATAAGTTTATTCAAACAGGAAACATATAAGTCGAAATTCGAAATAATAAATAGCAGAGATGTTTTATTACACATTTCTTGGAACATCATTCTTTAAAATAAAAGAGACGTAAAACGATCATTTAAAAGTCATTACAATCATAAATCATAAACATTTTGTGTATCGTCGGTGTTTGGTGTTTTTCTTTTAATAGGGAGGTATTTACATTTGGATCCTGTTTGACAATTTCTCTGCAAGTGGCATGGTGCTGCTATGGGTCTGCTTTTGGGAATGCATTGCAATCGGATGGGTTTTCGGTAGGTATCATTTATGATAACTTTAACCAAATTTATGTACCTGCGCATAGACCATATCTTTACACACGCTTACATTTTTTGTAATCCTTGTGACCAACAAACCATTTACTATCAAACATTCTATGACTGAATGGACCAATTTTAAACAATTACAATTATAATGTCATAACTACGAAAAGTTTGTGTGATGCAGTTTCTTAACAATTTATATATAATTATTTACATTTAATTAATCTATCAATAAGATCTGATCTTTTCTCCAACCAATTCAAAATATTGATGGTAAAACATTCATTTTTAGTGTTGTTTGGCCCTATATGACTCAAATACACCATCATACCCTGCATCTAACACACTATACTTAACAAACATGGTGGCACATCCTGGAATGACATAAGCTGTTAATACATGTGTATATCGTTAACAGTATAAAAACAAAACCAATAAAACTGTCAAAAATATATTAAGACTGCAAAAGAAAATGTGATTTTACAACAAAATATTTGTTTACATACATTTACAAGACGTGTAAAAATAAGGATGATGCTATGATTTGTGTCAAAGAAAAAAACACTTTCTTACTCATGCGGTTGGAAGGCGAGCGGTAAAGGCGTGACCGTCTGACTGACTACAATCACTAGCTCTTCATCACTTGGTCACGGGTTTGAGGCATACATGTGGCAGTCGCCAGGTACTGGCCGTAGGTCGTTGGTTTTTTCTCCTGGTAATCTGGCTTTCCTCCACCACCAAATCCTGGCACGTCCTTCAATGGATATAGGACGTAAAACACAAACAAAATTTCTGATACTCTTTTCTGTTTAAAATTTAACAGCGTGCAATACATATAACAAAACAATGCTTCATTATACATCACATTTAAAAAAAATATGTAAATGTCATGAAATAGAAGATATGCAATGTGTAAATATTTACTCGCCCGATCGCAATTTTTATACCTAGTGAAAATCTCCACCCTCTCCAACCCATACAAGTAAGCTTGGTCTAAGTTATTGGTACCGTTTAGTTAGATTTTTACGAACGAGTACTTTTTATACGTGTCAGTAGGGTTTTTTTTGTCATGAAACAATTGATGTTTTGCTGAATCAGTTACTCTGAAGAAAGGTTGTATTAATATATACTACAACTTTACGAGATCTAGATGACTCCTGTAGTGTCTATTGCTATAGTGATAAAAATGTTCAAAAATGATGTCTATGTCAGATCGGGCATTGCGTGTTAACAGGTGCCGATAGATTTGATGACATCCTTTACATGATGCTGGGTTTTAAGGTCAACCGATTGTTGTGGGTTTGTTTGAAGTTCATCACTCCCCTACTCACTACGGTAAATATGATCGTTATTGTATTTAATTATCAGAATGAAAAGAAAATTTAGAATGTAGTTGTAATTTTCATCAAATCCAGTCGTCTTTTTAAAACTTAATCCGAAATGCTTCACTATAATATTATGTTTCAACCTTCTACGACGATCATTTTAAGTTAATCTTGTGTGACTTGAAACCCCCTTTTATTAAAATTTCGTAACAAACAGGGCTCAACTTTAGCAGGATAACGTGCCAAACAATGATTTCCATGTGCAATAAATAAGGTCTTTAGTTTATATAATGTAGTAAGCGGTATGATGACTATACTTTCTGTTTTGTTTTCAAGGTGTTATTCATCTCGCAACTGACGTCGTTACGACTGGATAATTTAGGATCTTCGTATTCATACCCGCCACTCGCTCAAGCCTTTGGCCTAATGTTGTCATTGTCATCAATGGTGTGTGTTCCAGTCGTCATGGTCTATAAATTAATGGGTATTTCTGGTTCTTTTTCTGAGGTAAGTCAGCTTCAAACATAATACAGCAAGACCCTAGTAACAAAACAATGTCCCAGTGTAACAAAGAAATGTTTGCTTATGTCAGATTTGAACATAATACATAGAAAATATGTTTAAAACAACCCAAATAACAATAACGTATATTTGTTGTAACCTTTGTTATGTAAAGGATTCCCCCGCGCGTGTTGAAAATTTCAATATCTGATCATGGTCATCCTCTGTTTTATATGGTAAAACCTCGTGAATTATTTGCAGAACTTGTGATATATATATTGTATGTCCTGTGATTTATGTCAAGCATTTATTATCCCAAACGACATTGTGTTGAGAGGACGATATGAATGTAAAAACAAGAAAAATCTTCCACTTTTTAGGTCACCTGGGCTTAACTATTTCAAACTAAAAGACAAGTTCTACTGGGCCGATTTAACTGAAACTTGGTAGGAATGATC